AAATTTTTTGGTGGGTTTTGGGATCTCTAAAATGTTGTTTGTTTCACCAAAATTTTAGGATATGTAATAACAAAACTTATAATATTTTGTTTGTTTCAAACTTAAATTGTAGCATTACAAATTTAGAATTTGAAATCTAGAGTTGTAGCAAACAAAATTTAGGATCACCAAAATAGTGATTGGTGAATATAAGAATTTTTGGTGAGCTTACCTCCCATAAAAAACAAATACACTTGTATTTACCCTTCAAGCAAGCCCTCAAATGAATTTTGCAACATTTTAATAGCCTGTAATAAACCAGCAAGCAGCTCAATGATGTTTGTTGGATAGTATAGCATCGTTGGATCTTCAGCATTCATAAAATCACTGCAGGAATTGGACGCTTGTGTGGTAATTTGAAGAGCTAAATTCTTCAAAGAACAATTCTCAATCCAACACAAACCAAATATAATCCCCAACTTTAACCTAAAAACGATTTTAACATCCCTTTCCCTTGCTTACAGACAAAGATCCCAGCTACACCCCAAAATTAACGAACAGAAAATATGAAATGCAATCCATCGTCCTTCAATTTAATTCATAAAGTCAGAGAAAGCTGAAATTGACAAAGCAAGACTTAATTAATAAAATCAAGCAAAAAAAAAATTACCTTTGTGCCTCCATCGAAGAAAGTATGCCGACAAAGCCTCCAATAAACCTCCTTCTACCCTCTCCCCTCAACTTTCACGCGCTCCTTCTCTCCCAAAACCCTAACGGCAACCATCTCATAATTCTCCGGCAGCTTCGCCTCCCAAATAAAGTCCGCCTCCCAAATAAAGGAATAAGGGAGTGAGAGAAGAAGAAGGTGGAGATTTCGCGCGGAAATTTGACACCGGCCGGTAAAGAGGAGGGAGACGGAGAAGTTGAACGCGGGAAGTGGAGCGGCGGGTAAAAAAGGGAGGGAGAAAAGTGGAGAAGGCGGTGATAATATCGCCTCTCTCTGAAACCTGAACATGGGTGGGAGCTGACGTGGAGTGGGGTGTCAGATATCCCACCCCAAATCCCCTCTATTTTGTAGGATGTTGCAAATCCTAAAAACAATTAGTTTTTTATTGTTTTGGGATTCAATATCCCAAAAAAAATTTGGAAACAAACATAGTTTATGGATTTCTAAAACCTCAAAAAACCACTTTTTACATCCCAAAAACTAAAATCTACCCTATATCCTTTCTAAAACCTCAAAAAACCACTTTTTACATCCCAAAAACTAAAATCTACCCTATATCCCAAAAAAAAAAACAAAACAAACACCCCCTTAACTTTTTACATCCCAAAAACTAAAATCTACCCTATATCCCAAAAAAAAAAACAAAACAAACACCCCCTTAAGAAATTAAGCAGTTTATCGCTTGATTAGCTTCGAGGACTTGGAAGTAGTTTACGATTGATGCTTTTGTCATCCAAGTACTTCTGATGTGAAAGCACAGTGTTATTTCTGGAAGAAGACATTTCAAGATTTCTGCATTTCGTTGATTTGTTGTGTCTCTTCTTTTCTCTTGGGAAGCTTCCTACGACAAGATGTACGATTAGGTCCCTCTCTAATGAGTTATGCTAACATTTTTAGTTTCTGAAGAAGTTGGAAATAACCAAATCACATATTCATTGTTTTTGAGATGAAATTCTGTAATATTTGTTATCACTTTTTAAAGTAGTATGTTGACCCCAAATTGACATTTTCCTCTGTTTTCATTAGGAACTATATTTATGCCTCCAAAGTGGTCTCTGGGTTACCATCAATGTTGATGGAGCTATGAGCCTGATGCTAAAGTCCTTGAGGTACAGTCCTCGTAGCTTTCTTCCTGGATCTACATAAATGAGCTTTAACCCTTTTCTTTCTAATAGTCACCACCATACTTTTTTTGCGACTAACAACTATCTATAAAGTTGATTTTATTTGGCTTCTCTTCATGCCACTAATACAAAGGTTCTAGTTTGTCTTTATACATCTATATAGTATATTCTGGTATTGAACTACATATTTACAACCGCCCTTTGTTTTCTCGACTATGTTTTAATACAGATTGCTAGGACATTCCGGGAGAAAGATATACCTTGTGACGTCATATGGATGGATTTCGATGTTTTACCTTTGACCAAGTATTTAATCTACTCCCGTCTTTCTTTTACATTATCTCTTTTCTTATCCTCTGAAGTGTAGTGGTCATATTATCTTAACTGAATAAGGCTTGTTCTGTATCTGCTATGTAACAATAAACTGCTGACGGACAAATTACAAACTGGATCTCTATTGAATGGAAGAATCATTAATTGGTAGTTTGGTACCTATTACTTGGACAGGTTGGAAATTGGGAAGAAAACAATTGATCAAAAGGTGCTACGCTTAGTTATTATTTCTTTTTTTAACAGAACAACTACTAACCCTTTTTCTAATAACAATATATTCCACTGAGTTATTTCATTAAATCTAGTCTGATATTTAGGCCCTATGGGAGAGAATTCACCAAGATGGTTTGAAAATGTGCAACAGAGGCCAATAAATAAGCTACTGAAAGTGATAACGTTATAGTTAATGCGGGAAAGGCATTACACCCTACGCTTATATTCTGTGTTTACACTTACCAATAATCCATTGCTTCAATTTCATCAAAACTGAGTTTTTGGTGGGGGCTAAGAGAAGTATATTTACCCTATAATATTTTTCAGGTTGACGGCCTCTTTCTGAACGTGAAATCTTGGCTTTTATGCAGTGTTTTATTTTCTGAGGAAACCTTATTTCTACTCTAACAGACTTCAAGAAGCAATTACGAGACAAGACAATCACATGCATCTTCATCTAATTACTCAAATTATCTGCATCATGAAAGATGTATACATTGCTATATACAATACAGCTATTGTGGAATATAATCTTATGTTATTATAAAATTTAAGGAAAATTCTCATCGAGTTATATCATAGCTTCAGAGGTTCAATTCTTAGCATAAGTAGATTCATGAATTTTCTGAAACGCATCTAATCTTGTTTGGCTAATATTGTAAGAACGCTTTTCTGATCCACAAACTATGGTTAATGACCTTCATGCCATTGGTTTCAAAGCAATCTGGATGCTTGATCCAGGGATTAAAAATGAGGAAGGTTACTTTGTTTATGATAGCGGATCTGATAATGATGTCTGGATAAAAAATGCAGAGGGCAACCCTTTCGTTGGTAAAGTTTTCCATGTTTAATTATAATGATACAGACAGTTAAGACTTCATTGTTCATTTTTTGTTGCTACTTTTTGGGGAGGTATGGCCAGGCCCTTGTGTTTTCCCTGATTTCACACGAGGAGAAACACGATCATGGTGGGCAAAGTTAGTAAAGGACTTCATTGCCAATGGTGTTGATGGAATATGGAATGATATGAATGAGCCTGCAGTTTTCAAAGTAAGTTTTTGAATATCAACTTAGTATGTTTTACTTTCTATAGTTACCGTTTGCTGATAATAAAGCAAGACCATGACCATGCAGACTGTGACGAAAACAATGCCTGAGAGCAATATCCACAGAGGAGATGCTGAACTCGGTGGCTGCCAAAATCATTCTCACTACCACAATGTATTTATTTCCAACAGATGCACTTTAATATTTTCAAAAAATAGTGTACATAAGTAGGTACTTTGTAGTTTGTTGGTTTTAATTAAACAATGGATATGCAATACACACTTGTAAAATATTTTATTTTATTTTATTTTTTGTTCTATATTTTAGATTTTGAACTTTTCTTCCTAAATTCATCATCATCCAGGTTTATGGCTTACTGATGGCAAGATCGACTTATGAAGGAACTTTTCTTCCTAAATTCATCATCATCCAGGTTTATGGCTTACTGATGGCAAGATCGACTTATGAAGGCATGAAAATGTCTAGTGAGGAAAAACGGCCTTTTGTTCTCACAAGAGCTGGTTTTATTGGAAGCCAGCGCTATGCTGTAACATGGTCTGGAGACAACCTATCAACCTGGGAGCACTTACATATGAGTTTACCCATGGTACTTCAGTTGGTAAGTTGATGACTTAACACTAAACTATCATGCTATATAATACCAGCAAAACATTTAACAACTTTAGAACATGCAATACTATGCTAGTATGGAATTTGCATAAAACTTGTTGGGGACCTTGGGGTATTTAGTACTGCTGCTTCACTAGAAAATAGAGATGAAAAGTGAAGTCAGACAGTGTTTTTGGGTCTCAGATATTTTTCATCTGTTTAGCAACATGTTGAAAACATAGAAAAATTTTCTATTGGCTTAGGAATATGGTTATATATTATCTTTAGTTCAATTTTTTATCCAAATAAAGAAAAAAATTGCAAAGAGAATTAAGTTAATCGTTAAAAAACATGAATAGGGACACGGGATATGGACTTGACAAAACAAAGTCATGGAAACAAAGCAATTTCTTAAAAGTAGGACATATTTTATGAGAATATGCATGTTTGTAAGGAGATTGCATGAATGCACATCTATTCCTCCAAAAGGGTGAATATGTTTGTGTGTGCACACACATACACTCTTAAAAATAAACATGTTATAAATTCTAATAGTAAGATAATGAGGTATAACATACATCTGTATCACTTTGAAATCGAAATATGTCTCGTGTGTAAAATGAGTTGAGCATATCCCGCTTATGTTGAAGTGTACCTAAATGTTGGATACACTTAATTTATCATTTAATATCTAAGTTTGGGTGTAGTGATAAATTCTTATACCTGATAGGCTGATGGAATCATAGAATCGCTATAACGTCATAAACTAGATGGATATATGTAATTTAACTCTGGTATTATCAATTCAGGGTCTCAGTGGTCAACCTCTATCAGGGCCAGATATTGGTGGGTTTGCTGGGAATGCAACACCAAAGTTATTTTGGAAGATGGATGGGAGTAGGTGCAATGTTTCCTTTTTGCCGTGGGCATTCTGAAGCTGGAACTATCGATCATGAGCCATGGTCATTTGGAGAAGAGGTATGTCCTCATCAGTGAAGAATTGTATCTGCTTAGAGCTCATCTGCTGATTTGTAAACTTTATACAATAATAATGAAACTATGAAAATTGTTGATATCATACATATTCATTCAAGCCGGAGAGATCAGATGGTAATAAATGATACGCTGAAGTTTTCAATTTAGAAAGAAGAAAAGGATCACATGAATAATTGCTAAAGAGATTATATTTCTATCTTGTTTTTATTGAGTTATGCAAGCACTTTATGCTTTCTAAGAAATTAAGTGCATTGCATATTTGATGTTACTACCAGGTAAGTGAAGTACATAACCTTCTGAGCTAGGTGCTAAGTTATATCTAAAATCTAATTTAAATTTAAAAGCACCAACACTTTTATGGAATTATGTTTTCACGTGCAGATCTTTTTTTCTAATCTTTTATTTGCTTATGTCACAACTACTGACCATGTAGTCTAAGTTCACATTTGTACTAATAGAACTAATAGTGTTTTTTTTTTGATCGCTTCCATTGCTTCCACAACTTATTATAGTTTAACATATCCAATTTGATATAAATACTTTCATTTGTAAATTCTGACACAAGCACTATATGTGATTTCAAATGACTCGGCAGAAGACCACTTGTTTTCCTTGTGAAATTGCTAATCTTCACTAGTTTTAGTTTAAGCTTATTATATTTTACTAGATTGATAATGCCAGTTTGTTTTCCTGACCCTTGATAAAGGTAAAAGCTTCTGTTGGATTTAGTGGCAGAACTTCTATTGATTATTGTCTTCACTGTTGTAATCATATATACACACACATTATATTAGTTTCCTTGTATATATATATATATATATATAGGAAAACTCTTGTCAACTTAAGTTGATAAGAGTCATTGTCCACCAAAGTTTTTAACCGTTGGATTAAGTTTTAAGATCAAGATCTTCATTAGATGATGTGGCATTAATTAATTGAAGGATGGGTATTTTCGGAAAAACAATTCCACACAAAATAGGAAAGAAAAAAGAGGAAATCTCTCATGTTTATTCTCCAGCAAAAAAAATGGACTAATTAAGTTTGCATTGAACGTTTTAACATGCGTACGTATATTAATGTTACCGGTAATTAAGGTATAGCTGACTAATTAAGTTTGCATTGGTTGTCATATTAACACGGATAATTAATGTTACCTACAATTAAGCTACAGCCGACTAATTAAGTTTTTTAGCATGAAAGTAACATCATGACAAGGGGCTAAAAATATTTTATAATGTTGAGTTTATGACTAAGTTTGTGTTACGTTATGTATTTATTGAAAATACTAAGAAGAATTTCACAGTCCATTAGGGACTAATTATAATGTTTACAACAGACGTATAGTAGAAATTAGATTATCATGTTTTTGCTATATTTATGGATGATTCACTTGTGATTTTTATTCAAGCATCTGTATACCATCATGTCACATCTGCTGCTTGTGCTTATGCATCCCAATTACTTACACTCTTGTCCTCAAAATGGGTAAGATTTGGACTATTAGAGATGTGTTTGGGATGACTCGCCGCCATCACTCAGATAAGAAAGCTGGGGATGTCCACTCTGCCAAGGGCAGGTTTTTGATAAACTATGATCAAAGGGAAGATACTTCGTAATGAACAAAAGAGGAAGACGGAGGAAAAATCTTAGGGGTATCCGAAGTAAATAATATGGTGGAACCCCCTTGTTCTTTACTTAATAGTGTTTTTCTTTCCTATCTTGTGTGGAGTTGTTTTTTCCGAAAATACCCCTCCAATTAATTCATGCCACATCATCTAAAGAAGATCCTAATCTTAAAACTTAATCCAACGGTTAGAAACTTTGGTGGACAACGGCTCTTATCAACTTAAGTTGACAAGAGTTTTCCTCTCTCTCTCTCTCTCTCTCTCTCTATATATATATATATATATATATATATATATATATATATAACACAAGTTTTGTTTATATATATATACATAGATAT